AATGGGAAACTTGAGTGCTTGGTGTGTTCACAGCAGGTTTCAGTGCTCAAAGAATATAACATTTGGTGCCACTATGAAAGTCATCATTCCAACATAGACAATAACTTGCAAGGAGAAATGAGAAAAGAGAAGGTAGATAAATTGTTAGCGGATCTGAAGAAACAACAATCTACTTTAACCTAAAACCGAGATATCAGCCAAGCAGCAGTAAAAACTAGCTACCTTGTTGCTAGAGAAATAGCATTAGCATCAAAGCTGTACTGTGAGGGTAAGTTCGTGAAAACATGTGTACTGAAGGCTGCAGAAATTGCATGCCCCCAAAAGCGACAGACTTTTGCCAACATTAGCCTGACAAGAAACACTGTGGCAGATAGGATTTCAGATCTTTTTACAAATTTGGACAGACAACTGAAGCACAGTCATTTATTGCATTCTCAGTTGCAATTGATGAGAGCATAGACATTATGAATGTTGTGCAACTGGCCATAGTCATCCGTGGTGTAGACAAGACATTCACCGTCGCCAAGGAATTACTGGAGTTGGTTCCTATGATGGACACCACAACAGCAAATGACATTTTTATCTCTTTCATTAGAATGCTGGTCAGGGTTGCAGTGGACTGGGCCTGTGCTGTCAGCATGACTACAGATGGTGCTCCATCAATGATTTAACAATTCTCACTGTTGCTTGTTCAATGTTTTACAAAAAAAAACAAAAAAACAATTGTTCTTTAAATATGAACTTTTTCAGAACTTATTTTTTTACACTAAAACAAAAGAAAAATTTTTGAAATTGCTATTTATAGGTTCTTATACCATGATTTTACTGGTCTGGCGCCGGCTTGAGATGAAATTGGGTTGATATGTGTCCCATGAACTAAAATAATTTTGATACCCCTGCTATAGACTGTCTCAGCCACAAAGTGCATCGATGATCAAGCAAGGTTGAATAGTGCCTTAGAAACAGACTCTTGAAACATTCATATCTGCTCAGTTTGGTATCCTAAAGTAAACAAAGCAATTTCTAAGGAAGTGATGGATTTTTATTTATTAATCTGACAGATTTTATTACTTATTATTTAATAAATAAATGAAGCCCCTACTCGAACATAGGCATCCACTAAAAATAACATTTAAGTAATAAAATGTGCCAGATAAATAAATAAAAATCCATCACTTCTTCAGAAACTGCATATATATATATATATATATATATATATATATATTTTTTTTTTTGAAGAAATATGACAAATGAAAAAATGCTTTATTGAAACTAGATTAGATTATGTATTTTGCTTTTGAAGGCTTAACTAGATCCAAAAAAGAAAGAAATATGAGTGTGTATTTCTTTCTTTTGTTTTTTTTTTATCAGATGAGGCCTAGAAAGGCCAAACACTTAATCAAATCTACTTTTAATGATGTGGTTGCCCATTTGTTATATTTCTTCAAAATTTTGTTGGGATTCTACATCTTATTTATAAATATATAAAAAATTGAGATATAACAACAATATATCTGTAAAAGCACAATATTCATATATATATATATATATATATATATATATATATATATATACACACACACACACATATATATATATGTATTAATTCTCTCTCTATATATATATATATATATATACACACACACACACACACACACATATATATATGTGTGTATTAATTCTCTCTCTCTCTCTATATATATATATATACACACACACACACATATGTGTATTAATTCTATATATATATATATATGATGACAATATATATATAAATTTCAGATATAATGATAATATATCTGTAAAATTATAATATTCATATATATATATATATATATATATATATACATACATACATACATACACACACACATATACATGTATTAATTCTCTCTCTCTCTATATATACACACACACACACACACATATATGTGTATTAATTCTCTCTCTCTCTCTCTATATATATATATATATATATATATATATATATATATATATATATATATATATATTTATTTTTGATTTCTTTTTGAATTTATAGGTTTGATGATTTGGATCATGATTGATTGTGTTTGAGCCTTTTTATATTATATTATATTCTTATTCTGTCCTGGACATTGAGTTCTACCTGGATTCTATCCTCTTGAGAATTTATATATATATATATATATATATATATATATATATATATATATATATATAATGGACAAAAGTCCGTCAGTTATTTTAAAGAGATTTTTATATGTTTATACATTGTTTTATAGATACAAATATTTAAGTAAATGCTCTGTTTTTTATAATAAACAGTATTACTAACATTTACCAGGCTGAATGTACAAGAAATTTTCATAGTAAATATTCATCCTCCGATAGGAATTGAACCTGTATCCTATACGGAACCATCATTAAGTCTGACATGCCTTAACCGATTGAGCCATGGAGGATCGTTCGGTTAGCATGGTCGATGGAAGATTGAAGTTTAAAAACAGTAAAATCAACCTTGCTTATTGAACAATCCTCCGTGGCTAGATCAGGTAAGGCATGTCAGGCTAAATGATGGTTCTGTATAGGATACAGGTCGGAGGACGAATATTTACTATGAAAATTTCTGAGATTCAGGCCGGTAAATGTTATTAATACTGTTTATTATAAAACAGAGCATTTACTTAAATATTTGTATCTATAAAAATAATTTATAAACATAAGAATGTCTTAAAAATATATATATATATATATATATATATATATATTATACAAATACTAATATAAGGTTTGTCACTTAGCTGATTAATGTTATCTTCAGTATCCTGAGTTTCCTGAAATGTACCCTTGAGCAATCATTTCGTCCACTCGTCAGGTGAAAATCAATAAATATTCAGTGTATATCCCTGACAGTTGGGAATATTTATAGAAAGATCATTCAATAGTGATAAATTGATAGGGCTTTGGGAAAAAAAACAGTTGAAAACAAAAATAATTTTAATTTTCATACAAACTCTCAAGATAAGAAGCGAATTAAGAAGTCAGATTCATTGTTTATATATAAACACCAACACATACATTCTATTCATCAATCAGAGGGTAGATGATAGTACAGCAGGAATTTATTTTTGTGCATGTATTTAGAGAACACTTCCAATCTTTTATTTAATAATCAGCTCTGATCAGGAAACATGACTATGTTTAATTTCTCTCCCAAGCACAAACTGTATCTTTTCAATGCTTCTCTGTTAAGTAGCTGCCTTCTTTCTATTTTTTTTTTAATAAATTTATAACTCAGACATACATCTAGTTTTATGATTCTGTTGCCATATAAACCCTGACAATTTTGTTTTATATATAATACTGAAATAAACTTCATCTCCAAATTTTCAAACATTTGAAAACAAAAAGCTTTTATTTGAAAATTTAACTAATTTGTTTAAGAAAAAAAAATTTTTTTTAAATCTTTATAAAATTGAATAAAATAAGTACTGTATATTTCTGTATATAAAGTGACCTTTACATAAGACGAGATAAAAAAATACAGCAAATTTTCATGAATTTATCCTATACCTGTAATATAAGATGATTAATTACTGATTATGTAAAGATGATGTTATTGGAGATGTTACTTACTGTGTCCATAGAAATTAAAAATAAACAAAATAACAAAACCGATTCTATATTTTTCCTACACACATCCCCTAAAAGGGAAAACATTGTTTTGTTTACGTTTCCTCATGTGATCTCTTGCGAATACAGATTCTTCTTCTTTTCCTACATCTAACCAGTTACAAACAGCCTGGTGTACTAATGGCCATTTGCTTATACTTCATTGACAATCACAAAATACAACTAATAACAGTACAATAATAGTACATTCCATTGCTGTGAACGAAATCATAATTCAATATTTACATTTTCTCAGTTGAGCTTGCATGGATACAAGTTGATTTCATTGTTATGAAATTATTCTTTGAATAGATAATTTATTAGAAAATTATGCCAGTAATATATAAGGTAGAAATGGTTTTATTATTTTTATTATCAGTTTTATTTGATAATATGAATTTTTTCATGTACATTATTGGTTATTGTACTGAGGCTGAGGTTAACCTACTGAGAAACATCAGTCAGAATTTAAGGTTTCTTTTTTAGAATTGTAATATAAAATGCCCCCCCCCCAATTTTTAAGGGTGATTTTTGGGATTTAAAGGTTGTCTTATATGTGGAAATATGCAGTAATTAAATCTTAATAAAGTAAAACTGTATTTTAAAATTAATGAGAAAATTAAAATATATATATATACACTTATATTAATTAATTTAAATTTTAATTTTAAACATTAATCATTTAATTAAAATGTGTGTGAGGTATATGCTGAAAAGTTCTTAGCCCAGCCTATTTTCCAAAAAATCAATATTTAAATAGCTAAACATCAGAGCAATGATTTTGAGAAGTGGGCCAACCTGCAAGCTTTTCAACAGACCTGACATATTTTAGTCTTTATAAAAGTCAGATCAGATTAAAAAATGTCTGGTACTACTTACTCTTTACTTTACTGCTTTGATAGAGTTCAAAGTCATTTATACAGCCTTGCGGGTGATGATATATTTTCCACCTTGCAGTTCCTTTCCTTACAGATGCAATGTTCTAGGCTTTCTGCTATTCTATCACTATTTCCATGGCAAATGTTTGGACAAACACCATGTCTTTAATTCCAACAGTTCAGACCTTTACAGCTAAAACTCACCATGATACATCCACTGAGTTGAAAAAACTCTCATTCCATCCATAATCCAATTGTAAGTAGGACACTCCACTCAACTTTTTCTCAAGAACTGTTGCTTGCTGACACAGACTATATTGTATGGATGCTTTCCCAAATGCTACAAGAAAACAAAATATGACCCGATAAACTTAGTAGAAAAAGTCTCAAAGCAGACATATCACAAGAAGTGTAAATAACGCTTTATTTAAATAGAACTCAAAACTCACAAAATATTTATTTGGCTTATGGCTACATCATATTGAAACACTGGGTCCTGTATGATCGGTGAAGTTAAGCAAGATCAAGCCTGGTCAATACCTAGATGGGTGACTGCTTAGGAATACGAGGTGCTGCAAGCTTGGATGTGCAGGTGTTGCAATTAGAATAAGGATGTCCCAAATGGATTTTTCTCAAAAAAATGAATAATCATACCAGCTCATCTATTTGAAACATATATATATATATATATATATATATATTTATTAAGCTTTGCTTAGTCTGGCATGAGGCCGTAAATATAGGGTATTTTATAAGGATTGAACTCACAGTTGTAGTCTGTGAGACTAAATCCTTAATCACTGATCTGTGGGGAAGATCACATAAAAATATTTACTAAATTTATCATAGTCTGGCACAAGGCCATAAATATACAGCATTTAGTAAAAATCAAATATTTAGTTGTTTATAACAATTTTTATTTTCATAGTGATATACTTGATAATATTTTTTTATTTTTATTTCACTTCAATGTACCATGTACCCTCAGGACATAGGTGGTCATGGCTCTCCACAACTTCCTGTACCTTATAGCCCTTAATAAACCGTCTTTCTGTTATTTCTCTTAAACCCTGTTCTGTCATCCATTTACTCTCACCCATTAAGTATGTTATGCATTATTTTCCTCTGTACCTCTTGCCTGTTCTCTGTCCCATGAGTATTGGATTTGCTGAGCCCTCTTTTCTCATTGTGTCTCCTAGAGACCTTAACTGTCTTTTCCTGATGTTAAGTATTGGTTTCCTTTTTGTTTCTATTTTCTCTCAAACTTTGTTGTTACTCACATGTTTGGTCTATAGTATTCTCAGCATTTTTCTGTAGAAGCACAATTTTGTTGCTTCAAGTTTCCTATTTCATCTTTGAGGAGATCACCTAGAACTCACTGCTATACTGAGTGTAAAAGAATATTAGAAAAAAAAAACATTAAGTAGAGAGAACAATAAAAGAACAGAAATTGTGAAGATTTGTACATTCTCTATGAATCCATCTCTTCCTTCATCAGTTGTGGTGAACAGGAAAATAACCTACTTCAAAAGAAAAAGAAAATAAGAGTTCATGTCTTGCGCATGGCTTGCTGAAGAAAAGGAAAAAAAAATCCTACACTATTTACATGATTCAGACTATTGTCCTCATCTTTGTCGCCATATTTATTACGTTTCGGCCGTTGTACACTCTGGCCCTCTTCAGGTGGTTGGAATGTCAAACTGAACCCTTTATTTTGCCCACTGGGGTAGACTGTTCTAGTTCCATGTTCCATGGTTAATGGATGTCAGTTATCTCCTGTTAATTCCCCTCTCCAAGTTCTCCACTGCCTTAACTGGGTATTGAACTCACACTCTTTGGGTCCTGTCACTTGATCTAACTAACACCTTTATCCACTGTGCCATGTGTCTTTGAGTGAGCAAAATAAAGGGTTCAGTTCAACATTCCAACCACCTGAAGAAGGCCAGAGCATAAACGGTTGAAAAGTTGTAATCAATATGGTGACAAAGATGAGGACAATAGTCCGAATAATGTAAATATTGTACATAATACCTCATCTCAGAGATATAGACAGATAATCCTAGATATCCTAGATAATTGCTACCTTAAGCATACCTCACATATGGTAATTTTTTTATCCTACATGACTATCACAACCAATTGGAACATTTACCTCCTCAATAAAAGCTATTGCTTTTCTTGATGAGTGGGGTATTTTTTGGATGAGCAGGATATTTTTTTGGTGAGTGGGGTATTTTTTGATGAGTGGGGTATTTTTGGTTTGTGAAAGTGAGTGAGTTTGCTGTATTAGGATCTGCAAGTTGGATATTTTGACCCTATTTTTTGTTTCTTTTGACATTGGACTTGTGATTTTGATTTATATCCATGATACTCGTATTTCTTGTTCTTTGGATTTGGGAGTCTGGATTTGCGATAGAGAATTTGTCACCACCCTTGTTGTTTTGGATATTTGTTAACAGACACAGTAGGGCAGACTGATCCTTCTAGCTGTGGTTGGCAATCAATCTAATAGAAAAAACTCTGAATTCAAAATTAGCCCCAAAGAAAGCATATATTACGCACCTAACAAAAGGAGTTCACAGTAGTGCTATGATCCAAACTGCAGTCAGCCTGAGTGATAGACGGACGTAACTCAACAGCAACAATGACACACAATGATATGGTTCTGGATAATGCAACATGTAAATGGGCACAAGTTACCTAAAATTGAATTGAGGAACATTCTGGAGATACTAAAAACTTGTATGGCCACCATGTTCACCTGACATGAGCCCAGTTAAGCTTTTATGGGACATGGTAGAGAGGTCTATTTTCTGGCAAAATCCTGCAACTACAAAGAGCTAAGGCACATCAGACGACTGCCATGCAATCAAATCACCTTCATTTTCTCCATATTTCAAATATAAGGAGAAAGTTCCACTCAGTCAGCTTTTTCCCAAGAACAGACTCCCACGTGGATGCTTCCTTAAATTCTACAATCTTAACCACTTCAAGTCAAGGTTTCATTGTTATATGTCCTCCTTATTTTATTTATTTATTTTTTATCACTTCATGCCAAGCAAGATAATAATGCCACTAAGACACAAAGAGCTACTGAGAATGAAAGAGAATAAGAAGACTTCAGAAGGAACTGGAAACCTAATCCTAAACAGGAAACAAGGGATAAGTGACTGGGGAGGAGTGTGAACCGGGCAACAGACGAACCTATCTATTCCTATTCTCTTCACTTCCTATCAGCTCCTCTTTCATGCATATTACTCACCTCGTTCATCATAATCATAAAAAACTCTATCTTGAATGACTCTCAAGGCTTATATTGAATGAACTTTAGTATTTAAAAATGAAGCACAACAGCTGTGTAATGATAACTATATAACATACAGTAGAACGCCAGAAATGATTTTATGAAGAAAGAATCTAGCATCGTTTTATTTTGATTTACCACCACAAAAATACTGTTGCCTTAAAATTCGAACTGAGTAAATATTCTCTCCTGCCCACGCCCACACATAAAGTAAAGGCCAGTTATATAAATATATTCAGAGAGACACAGAGAGAGAGAACGTATTTCGTTTTTTTTTTCTTGCTATACTTCCACGTGCATTCAGTTCCCACTTTCAACACGTGGTAAATAATGAAAGTGAAAGTTGGAAGGGAGGTAACTGCTGTTGGTTTAGGAGGAAGCCCAAACATACAGAGAGAGAGAGAGAGAGAGAGAGGAAAAAGAAAGCGAGAGAGATTGTGTGTGTGTGTGTGTGTGTCTTAAGCAACTACTTTAGGCTCATGGGCCGTGGATTAGATAAAAGCGGCTGTATAGTGCAATTGCGTGCGCGCGCATGTAGCAGTGATAGCAGTCATGGTAGTCGTAGTAGTAGTACTACTACTACAAGTAGCAATAGTACTAAGGCCAGCATCTGCAGTAGCTGACAATTGGATGTAGTAAGGTGCCCAGCAGTCACCTCCGCGTCTCTGGCTGGCCGACCGTCTGCTGACTGTGTATAAAAAAAGTAAAACAAAACAAATTAAAGAAAGAGAAAAATCCTTCCCCCTACTTCACGTCGACTTTTTTTTACCTACCTACCACGGCAGGTGTGGATGGCTTGGTTATGTTACCTATGCAGGACATCTAAGATGCTCAAAGATGCCCATTTCTTAAGTTAAGGTATGTACTTATATATGTATATCTATGTCATAAACAAACACTAGAAATGAACGACAACCACAACAACAATAATGATAATTGTTGTTGTTGTTGGTATTATTTTATTATACATACGTGAAAAAAAGAACGTATACAAACTAAGAAGCCTGAAGACGTCACAAAAACTGGTCTCAATCACGAATCGTCTCTAGAAAAGATTGGGCGATTACGTCGGCCCCTTTTTACATTGGATACTTAATTAACAAGCATTTTATTCTTTGATGCACACACACACAGACACACACACAACATCAACTCATATTCGGCACAACGATCACTCATAATGTACATTTAATCAGAAAGCTTTTTTTGATTCAAAATAAATGGTTGTGTATTTCACACAAACACACATATTATATATATAAATATATATATATATATATATTTTTCTGGAAATACGGACATGCTAAAATATGTGTGTGTATGGTCATTTATAAGTTTGTCTTTGTATATGTGTTACACATAATTTTAACATCATGCCCATATTTTTTTGAATAATAAAATTTTGTACCTCTCACAGGTTGTTCAAGTACAGAGGAGATACACCTCGGATATATATATATATATATATATATATATATATATATATATATTAGTTGAGATGGCCAATTTTAAGTTTTGTTCAAAAAATGAGAGAGACGCAAGAAGAAGAAAAAACAGGAAAAAATTCTTACTTAAAAATGCGTTCTAAGTAAAATAAATACAATGTAATATAAATAAAATATTCAGTAAAAATAGATTCTCGATAATTAATACATCTACCCTCCCCCTCCAAATGAAGCACATGAAATGACGCTACTCTTGATAATAAAAACATTTGGGGCTGGGTGGGTAGGTGGAATAAACAGGGTATTATTTTTGGGGTGCAGAGTGAGGGGTTAACCTCAACGCACGTCACCCTTACCTCAACTCTGTCGGGGTATCTTCTCAACATGACGATAAACATGCCTTATTGTTGTAGCTTTATGTTGGTACGTGTCAAATCTAGTAAGCACACATTTCAAAAATGCAAACCAATACTCAGGTTCACACATTGCACCATATCCAACACACACACACAATTTGTATACATATATTTATTCTTGTGTCTGTGCGTGTATTAATTTGTATGCGTATGCAATGTGCGTACTAGATTGTGTGCGTATTAGTTCACGTTTATAAACAAACAAAAACACTTTATGTGTGTGTGTGAGAGAAAGAAAGAGAGAGAGAAACAAACATAGTAATAAAGGATAGTAACCTAGATAGACAGGATCTTAACTCACTCTATTTAACACTTCTTACTCTATCAAGCTTCCCACCCGTTATCCACTCTTTCACTATATATGTCTAGAAACGGGGTAAGGAATAACGAGAGAGAGAGAGAGAGAGAAATTGCCGACTTAATTCTCAAGATTACTTTCACTTTCGATATGTGTAGGCCTCTCTTCTAAAACCAGAAAGCAAAGGGAATCTAAGGTAGGTCTACGTTAGACTTAAAAATCACTTAGTTCGTCTAAACAAACGCAGAAACATTTGAAGTGTGTGTATAATGAATGTACCTAGATAGATAGATAGATAGATAGATAGATAGATAGATAGATAGATAGATCAATCGATCGATCAATAAGCACACGGCGATAGATACAAACAAATTGTGATAGATATAGAGTTGTGAACAGACTGGGATAGATATAAGCACAGATTGAACGTAAACAATACAAGACATAATTTGTTTATTTCATTTTTGTGACGTATAGTTTGAAAAGGTCGAATTCTATAAAGCACAGATATTATTTAATTTATCGTATATCCTAAACTAAAAACCAGACATCGGCAATAATCTCATTACGTTTGTTCATGATTCACAGTCGATATTTATTTAATAACAAAAGACGTACTAATGCGATGATTAGCATTTTGGAATCCTTAAAATATTTACACAATTAATTACATGTGAGACGGACTGGCCAATATTCAATTAATTAATGCATGCGTTTTTACGCTTTTAAATATAGTAAAAATTAATCTTGATTTTTTTTTTTTAAACAAGGACGATGGTCATTTTAATATCATATCTGTCTCTGTAACTTCCTGTGTAAAACCAAAATCGAGCAGTTATATAGTAAACCGCAGACGATTGTGATCACTTTGTGATTTCGTTGAATGTTAGAGCACACACACACACACACACACACACACACACACACACACACACACACACACACACACACACACACACAACTAATGTTTTTTTTTATTCCAATATGACAAGCGAAATAAACAACAAATTGCGTTTTGTTATAATCTTAAAAATTAAGTTAAATTTTATTTTTAGTTGAAATTAATTGTGTGAATGTCTGTTTTCTGAGCGGTCATCGTAAACACAAGCTTAACGAGACAATTTTAAGTACAACGAAAAATTAAGTAAAATAAAAAGGTCTTTTTTGTGACGTCTGTAAAATTTGTTTTTCGTCGCTATTTCCCTAAAGAAAAAAAAACAATCTTTCTTTATCATCACAGATAAATAACTACATAATTCTATCCTTATGACAAAAGGACAGTTTTAATATTTCGATTTTAGCAAAATTCACTTCTTCCGGGTAGTGTTTACAGACCTTTCAACCTACGGTCCGGTGCTCTGCTATTTAACCACCATGGTATGCCAACGAATCAATAAGGTATGCGTGCTTCGGTGGGCACACTATTAGCATTTTATTTTTCCCAAAGGTATACTTTACTTTCGAAAATTTTCAAAAACAAGCGAGTTCTTTGGCGCTACACATTCCTCCAAGAAATATAGCTTTTTGTCTGTCTTGGTTAAACGAAGTACCCTTGCGAGAAGCTTGCCTGTTCGGTATATGGCGTTCAGCGATGATAAATGTTAGTTATTCTTCTGCAGGTAGTTGATTGCAAAGTCTCGTTGACGGGCGACCTGTGAAACTATTTACAAAATCGTTGATATCATTAGAGGGAGAAGAATATATTTGCGTGCAGATGCTTACATAATTTAAGATAAAGATAAGGAGTCAGAGCCTGGGACTGAAGGTTGAGAGATCTTCGACTTTTGTGAAATTGGAATTAGGGAGGTTAGTATTGTGACACGCCGACGATATTATAAATATATATTTGCATATCGACATTTGTAGAAATTAACACACCAATGATTTGCATTGGGATTACATCATTATCACTAAATTACCATTTACCGTCAATGTTTCAGACGGCAGGGTTTCCGGCCGTCTTCAGATGTATATCGAATTCAGTAATTCGTCAATGATGGTTAAAAGGTGGCGTAGCCGTTTTCGATGCTGAAAACCGAATCAATGAAATAAGATTTAGTTTCGACCGAGGTTTCTTAGGACTTATGTTCACTTCACACTTAGGAAAGACATGAATTAATTTCTCCCTGTGCTTTATTCCGTGGCCAAATACCTTAACAAATGTCTTGTCACTGTTATGGCACATCTTCCGTACGAGCCCGTTCTACATGTCACATATCACTTGAAGAGGACACAAAGATAACACTAAATCCCCTTTATCCCGAGGATGCCAGGAAAGACCTAGAATAGCACTCTAACAATTTTCAAGATCATGGAACCGATCAACTTTTTTTTCCTAAGGTGTCTTGGTGTGGGGTAATGGTTAACGAGTTAGTCACCTTGACCGATACTATTGAGTAGTGATTTCGACTCTCACTGGGTGCTCCATACTTGGAGCCTTGTCCCAAACTAAGCTGAGATTAATAAATAACAAGGTTGCTGCCTAGGCGTACAGTAATTGTTAGCGAGCTAGTCAGCTTGACCAATACTATTGAGTAGTGATTTCGAATTTCACTGAGTGTTCCATAGGTAAGCTTAGTAAATAACTTTATTTATTGTAATTTTTCGGATTTTATTATCTCTCGGAATAAAACAACCTTATTCAGTAACCATTTGCCTAGAGTGGCTCTTAGGCCTTGTATTGTGAATAGCGTAAAACAAAAGCAATTTTGTGTTGAATTCTGTACTATGATGTGATGTAGATAAATAATTTCTAAGATGAGAATCGAAAAAAGATTGTAAAACATTTGGTACTGGAGATCCATTCAGTGCCATACCTTTTTAATACCTCTAGAGTGCAATTTGTCTTTTTTCATTACGATATATAGTTAGTCTATTAATAAATCTATCAATGCGTGAGTAAGACGTTTTATCTTGACGCCTGTTCAGTGTTATAAACATTTCTGCTTGTTATAAGGTTTCTAAGCATACTGGATAGTATTTTCTAAAGCCAAGAAAGTCTTACTATATGAGGGGGTGCTGAAAAGTTCTCGGCGTGTTTTCTTTTTGTTTGTCATGACTTTAATGTGCTGTTATACTAGGTTTATCTCCCTTGCACTGGCGATGTATTTTTATATATTTAAATTAAAACTCAAATGTACAGACCTGATAATTGCAAGGACCTTAACCAAATAGGCTGTCATGACGGTATGTGTTGAACTAGTATTAATATAAGAAGAAGGGTCTATTGGACATAAAGTCGGGGTCGATTTTATGCTGTTATAAAGTAATAAGATAATCCCTATGAATTTAATATGTATTAATAATAACTTGGGGGGATATTGAAAGGCTCACATGTGAAGAGCTTACTCAATAAAATACGCCCTCATTTTTGATAGCATAAAGAATTTTTAATACAATATAAACTAAAAAAAGATTATTAAATAAAGTAAAATAAAATAAATTTAATTCATAAATTAAAATAAATAAATAAATAAGTAATAATAATAATGTATCATCCACCCACAACGACATTTTTGCGCGTAATCTTAACGCTTGGGTACAAACACAAAGAGAAATACTTTCTTCAGGTAATAAGATGTATTGAACAAACAAACCCGACGCAAACCGCTTTAGTTAAATATACCAAGTAGAGATTTGTCTGTCACAGGGACAAATGAAAGGAAGACTGCATTGTGTCATGTAGGGTGGCCCACCTGATTTGAGAAATAACTATCCCCACCCTTTTTATTTATTTTTTTAGTGGTTTCAAAATCAGACCACTGGCATCGGCGAAGAAAAAAAAAACTCTAACCCACCAAATACGCCCATGACACACATACAGGTTTAAATAAATTAGAATACCAAATAAGGAAAAATAGATATAAAAAGCTTGGCGCAATACAGTTTTCCAAGCAGGGACGTCCTACCTGTTAGAAATCTTTGTGTGTGTGTGTGTGTGTGTGTGCCATCGAAAAACCTGATCACAGTAGGAAAACCATGTAACTATGTCTGTCACCTATCAGCCGACGCAACACATATGTAGATGCCTATATACGCAGTCGTCAAATTAAACTTTACGTACACGGGTCAGGGGTGGGGACAAGGTATGTAATTTTATACAAGATATATACATCACACCTTCCCTAAAAACGGGAAAAATAAACTATTTCGCTGCAAACCCCATAACAGACAAATAATCTACGTATTACACAAAAGATGTGTACACCCCCTCATCCTGTTCTTTCCGACGTTGTCATGTACAAGGCGAGCTCGTATTTAATGCAATTCCCTATTTGTTCTTATAAAAGAATATTTTTTTATCCCGATGGAAGCGATCAAAACCATCGTTTGTCAAGTTGCATGACGCATTGTCTACAGGCGATTTTAGAAGTTACTGTTTGAGCTTGGCGAATTAAAAGTGGACAAAGATAAGTGTCCTGCTATGAAAATACCATCAGCTGGCCGTAGATACAGGTTGGTCATTAGCACTGCTTTTTGTAAGAAACATTGGCAATCATAAAACAGGTTGATTTCTTATTTTATTTAGCGTGGGTCCACTGTACATCGCGGTTATCTCCTTTGATTGAAATAAACAAAATTGTCAAAATATTAAACTCCAGTGTCATGCAAACACCTTTGATGGTTTTGGATTCCAATTTAAAATTTCTCGCATTGTACGCAAATAAATAAAGTAATTCTTTTGAAACAGTAGAAGTAGACAGGTTCACCTACCGCCCGGTTCACACTCCTTCCCCGTCTTTTATCCATTGTTTCCTGTTTAGGATTGCGTTTTTGGTTCTTTCTCCTAAAGTCTATTTATTCTCTTTCACTACCAGTAACCCCTTGCGTCTTAGTAACATTACGTATGGGATAAAAAAAAAAACCTTGTTTGGAGATACAACGTTTTTCTTTTTTTAAGTAACTTTTATTTGTTGCTCTGGTTTCACGTCTATTTCTTAAGCTCAACTTTGTCTGGCACAAGGTAACAAGTGTGTGATTCTTAGTAGGGATCGAACTCAGTACACTAGTTGTCTCGGCTAGTTTGTTGAGCAATATTCTACGGCGTAGTGACTCTTAATTTTATGAACGAATTCGTTGAGCAAATATCTTAAGCGACCTTCGCCTATTATCAGAACTGGTTGTAAATTTGTGTGATCGTACAAATCTTTAGTTCGTTTTAAAAAAAAAATTTGGTACACCTGCACGACCAAACTATAAAACTGCCGGAAGGAGTATTTAGACAAAGGTCAAAACAAAACTGCTTAAAATAATAAGGTGTGGCATTCCCCATATATATATATATATATATATATATATATATATTACTGTATTTGTTTATATTCCTGCATATATGCGCATATGTCTGCATGTGTACAATATGTGTGTGTATGTGCGTGTGTGAGAGAGAAACTGCCACACCTTATCATTTCTAAGCAATTTTGTTATGTCCTTATATATCAGACAT